GTCACAGCCTATCCCTGGAACTTTGCTGGGACCAAAACCCTTTTTGAAAAACTTTCTCTGTCCATCTCATCCCAGCTGAGAGAAATGTCCTGCCAGGGTGACCCACTGCTTCTCTGAGTAAGCACAGTAGTTTGTCCCTTATTCATCCTCTCCTTCATTTCCCTCTCCAGCATATGGTGCCATCCAGGGGCCACCTGGTGAAAAAGGAGAGAGGGGTTATCCTGGACCCAAAGGTAAGGCTTGCCATCCTTTCCCTCTTTAGCCTTGTGAGGAAGCAGCACTGTGACCACAGAGGTCGTTGGCACAGCACTGCTCAAGGTCACACCTTCCGACAGAGAAGGTGGCACCTTCAGGATCTCAGCTGAATCATTGTCCTTTCTTTATCTCCCTTACCCTGGTCTGTCCCTGTCCATGAACCACTTGTGCTCAAGGGCAAACTTGGTTTTCTCATCCCTTCAGGTGACCCTGGGCCAATGGGCCCACCAGGACGACAAGGGCACAGGGGACCAAAAGGAGAGAAGGGAGAGAAAGGTATGAACACCTGCCATCCCCAGGAGAGCAGGGTTTGCCTGTCAGGGAGTGGAGGATTCCCCAGGCACCAGCCCATCACTGGGAATGGCTGGAAAACACTGTTTTGGAGCTTTTGTCTTCCTATGTGAACTTTTCAAATAACTCCTTTTTACTTTATTGTCTCCAGGTGAACAAGTGTATGTTGGCAGAAGAAAAAGAAGAAGTGCTGGGGTTTAAGGAGAGAGGCAGCTCAGTTCTGCACAGGGCATTACTCCCAGCAGCCTGTAGAGAATTAGCCTGAGTCTTCACTGCCTTAATGCTAAAAAGTCCTCACCACTCAGCTGACCCCTTAGAGTTGATAGTTCAGTGTTGCTGCAGAGATCTTATTGTCTCCTGTACGTGTCCAGCATGGCCCCAGTGTGGGTGTTTGCTCCTGTTACTGATGTTTGGCTCCGTGACCCTGAGCTCCCAGGCTCCTGTCTTTGGGCTGACAAGCGCTTCCTGTCTCACCTAGTCCGGCTTCTTGCATTGCTCCCAGCTATATAAAAACCTGTTTTGTTTTTTTTTTTTAACAAGTAGCCAACTATCCAGCAAAAAGAAAAACAGAAAGCAATCCCAACACCCCCAAATGCTGTGCTTTGTCAGGGATCAGATGTAGGATCAGCCCACAGGATACAAGACCCTGCAAGATACCCTGGGACTGAGCTTAGACCGCACTGGGACTCCCTCTCCACAAACCCTGCCGGCCCTAAGTGGGAGGCAGCAACACAGCAAGACAGGACATGCACAGGGACCAAACAGAAGCACTTTTAAAAGTAATTTGTTTACCTTTTTAAAAATATTTTTGTATTTTTTTCTGGTTTTCTAAACACTGGGGAAACATAATTTTAATGTAAACAGCCCAATTAAAGTGTGTTTTTAAACCAATCCCTGAACTACTCAGGACCACCTTTCTGTGCTTGCAGGTTGTGTTGTGGGCGAGGGTGAGGCACCCAAGAGGGGTCTGAGGTAAAGTGGTAAAATACAATGGCACAATGTTAAATACTCTTTACACTCAGTTATTTCAATAATTCTAAACTGTCCCCCTCACCCCAACATCACTTGTATTTCATGCAAGTTTTCCATCAACAAAACAGAGGCCATCTCAGCAAACTCTGATTTTTATTGTATTTACAGCAGAATTATTACAATATTCTACAGAAAGCCATGAAAGCAATTACTTTTAAAAACAAGACCAAAAAAACCCAAACCAAAACTGTTGTATGGCTGCTACTGCAAGTTCACTTCCACGAGCTGCACATAAACCCTTAGCCAATTACTCATCCATCTCATGATTTTTGGTTGCTTTCTGTAAGGCAAAAGTAACTTGTTTTGCAGTTAACACAAAACATTCAACAAACTGCTGGGAGAGCACGAGGCCGGCGCTGCCTCCGCCGCATGTGCTTTGTCACAGGACTATGACAGGACTCCCGCTCTGCTTGCTGACAGAACATGGGGGTGACAGCTCAATGTTAGATTTCACTCCGTGTCCCTTTCTACTTTCTGTTCTTTCCACTGCTTTAGGACCGACACTGTAAGAGAAGCCTTACCACTTAGTTCGGTAATTGGAAGAGATTTTGGAAAATCAGGGTGACTTTGGGCTCGGCCGCTCCTTTCTGCTTTCAGTACAAGGGAAGCACATGAGCCCTTGGTGAGGAGTGGGTTTGTTAGAGTGTGTTTGTATTCAAGGGGTTGTTCTTCTCTGGCATCACTGACTGCCCCAATGCCAGATGTGCAAAGGAGCTACAGAAATGAAGCACAAGAACTAAGGAGGGAGAAAGGGGGTAGAAAACAACTGAAAGTTCTGTAAAAGAGAAACACTGTAGTTTTCTTTTGTCTTCTCCCCTTTATCTGTTCTCATCTCTTATAAGACTGAGAAACAACAGGACATCCTGGCCTTGGTTTGCCTGTGAACAAGGAAGGTTAATTCTCTCTGACCTTATTTCAACTGCTGTGAAGATGGCAGAAATAGTCTGAGAATGGCAAATCTCCACGCACACATCAGTGCAAGGAAGTTTCGGAGATCCAGAAGTACAGGTTTTGACATAAAATGACAAGAATGGAAATGTTAACATAGAAGGCAGAGAACTCCTAAACCCTCCTCCCTTCCCTTTCTCCAGCAACCAGAGTCACTGTCCTCAAAACCTTGCCCCACTTCCCCAGATGAACCAAGGAGCAGGAGTTCAGTGGAAGGAGCTAGCACTGAGCTTATTTATTTGCACATTTCAGTTTCCAGCAGGATGAGTGTTTGAGGTTCTGGGAGCTGCAGCTGCACAGCAGCTCTGAAAATCAGGCTGCCTAAAAGTGGACTTAAGTGCCTGAATTTGAAACACCTTATTCAAGTCTTTCCTGTACCAAAGCATCCTTGAAATACTTGCAAGACAGATACTGTTTCAACTTCCTGTGTGATTTTGCTGTCACAAAAGACATGGTGTGATGAAAGAAATTTCATTGCTGCTTTGCTTGGCTGCGTCTTAGTTAAGGTGCTACATTTCTTATTTACTAAGAAAAATAATTCAGTAGCATGGAGATATCATAAAGTCATCTGGGACAGAAGAATAATTTTTTAACTGGATGATTGATTAGATATTGAACACCCATTAATGTAACTTTAGAAGGGTATGAGCTGAAAAGATTACCTGGAAAAAAGGATGCAGCTCAACTGGAATTTAACTGTATTTTTACAGTATTTTAACTGATGTGAAAAATCACCACGAGTGAATGTCACCAGTCAGGACAGCAGCCCTGCCACCTTGGAACTGGAATTCAGGTGTCAATTCAAATAAAGGTTTTCCTTCAGAAAGTGTTTAAAAATCAGGATCCATCTAATTAATCATAACAACCTCAATATCCTATCTTTACATACCATACACGCTTCTTGTGCATTCAGCAGAGACAGCAGAGCACTTGGAGGAGGAAAATTTGTTTTATGGGAATCAGAGAAAATCACATGTTTGCGTATTTCTCCCTCACCAAAATAAACAGCAAAGTTCCCCTGGGACTCCGGGAGGCCAAGGCCTGAGCCAGACCACTGTCCCCCGGGACTGATAACCCCTCCTCAGCCAGCCCCACTCAGGAGGGATGCAGAGTCTCCCAAAATCCGGGGCACAGGAGCCCCCAGAGAGCTCCCTGGGCTGCCGGCAGCACCGCGTTAGTGGAGGACTGGGGAGCCTGCACACGGCTGAGTGCGGAACTCGGGATGTGAGCAGAGCCAGGGGCTCTGTCCTTACAAGGCCCTTTCCCATAAAAGCTGACTTAGCAGGTGCCCAAATCTGCTTTCAGAGCTCAGGAAGCACATGTGAAGTCTGACCCCGTCAGAGGCCAGGGGGCCTGCAGGCAGATTTTCTGTGAGGATCAGCTGTAAACACAGGAGGACAACCCATACACTGACTGCAATCCTGGCACTTACTGCCTTTGCTCCTTTCCCTGTGGACAGTATTTATGATGTAGTAAAACAAAAGGTGAGAAAATACCGATTTCTGGTCAGCTTTGCAAGAGCATGTGGGGACAATGAGATCTGCCAAACACTCAGTAAGAAAGCACATTGTTTTGCCTGTGGAAAACACATCTAACTACCCTGGAGATGGAGCTGCTAACATTCATTAAAGGAAGGTGACATGAGACAGTAAAGAGATTGGATTTTGTATCTCACAAGATCTCTTTTGGGCCTACATGAGACTAAATTAATTTGAATTGAATTTTCCAACACTGATATAATATTGTAACACCTCTTTCATATTCTGCAACACTTACATCCAGTTTTATCAGACTAAGTGTGTAAGTACCCATGCTAGTTTCTCTTAACACACACAAAACATATTTTCATGCTCGATATCAATTCTCAGCATGGTTCACAAGGCTGCAACTGCTTCACAGAGCTCCCCACCTGATGAGATGGGCAAGGCTTCCATCACCACATCCGATCTCTCCCTTCATCACGCAGCTCAGTTACAATTATTTGTGCAATTTACAATGAGATCAGATTGCAGGGGCCTGTGTGAAAAGGATCTTCAAATAAAAGATGTAAGAGATTTAGACAGAGGTAAACAGAATGCCAATACACATGAGCAAGTGATCACTGAAACTACCAAAAATGTAAGGAGAAGATTATTAACAGTGTAGTGATAGGACAAGGAGCATGGGGTACAGATTGAAAGAGGGGGAGTTTAGGACAGATATTAGGAAGAAATTTTTTACTGTGAGGGTGATGAGGCCCTGGAACAGATTGCCCAGAGAGGTTGTGGATGCCCCAGCCCTGGAAGTGTTCAAGGCCAGGCTGGCCTTGAGCAACCTGGTCTAGTGGAGGTGGGGGGTTGGGACTAGATGATCTTTAGGGTCCATTCCAACCCCTAAACATTCTGTGATTTCCCTCTGAGGAAAATCTGCCTGCCCTGCCTGCTCCCTGAGTAAAGCACTGAGCCTACGTCATACGAAACTGCAAACAAATTCTGTTAAATAGAAAGGAAGATTATTTAATTTTATCTCAGGAACAGTCAATTTATGAAGATGGAGCTTAAAAAGCAAAAGATCTTCAAAGACTTTTTTCTCTCTAATGAACAAACAATTCAAAGAACTTTGCATTTAGCAACAGAGAACATTCTAGAGATATGGTGTGTGAATTTACAACAGTACACAATACACATTTATAATAATAAAATGCCAGAAATTAAGGCTAGCTATTAAAGTAATTATACTATCAAAAAGTTACAAAATTTAAATTAAACATGCATTTTCCAATTAATCATTTTTCTGTGCTGTAAATTAAGTGTCTTCATTGAGAAGGTATCACTTCAACGTCCAAGGATTTCAGCATCCCAGATTTCAACCACAGCTGATTCTAAGTCCCATGTTAATTTCTGAGCTCATTGACATGCAGCAACACAGCTCCCACGGAATGAACGTCGTTAATGGTCACCGGCCACGAGTTCAATGCAAGAGAGCAAAACAAAACGGTCGCAGTTGATGCCCGAAGAGACCTGAGAAAGTCAGGCCTCAAACAACAGAAAGCAAACACTATTTTACAAATGGAACTCCAGCATACCCAAGTACAGCCTTTTTAACACTGTGTCTTGATATGACTCGACCTCCAACCCCCAAAGGAGTGCAGCAAAAATTGACCTAACGCAGCTGTATTTCCCTACCCGCTACATGAGAAACATTTCAGATTTTCCACTGCAGATCAGTCAGGTAAATAACTTATTGTACATCTATGAACTTGAAAAATAAAACCTGCCTATGTTAGTAGGTGGCGACACAAAAGCAAAACACCCAGCTTCATAAAGGAGTTTGTCTATATATTTAACTTAAATCTTTCCACAAAATAAAATGACTAAAATTAAAAAAAAAAACAAAAAACAAAAAACTGAATCTAACACTTCTAATGAAATCAGACTTTAGCCATGATTATTTATAAATATGACCATCCGCCTCCACTTTTCCAATGGAGTTTAAATGAACAGGCTTTGGTAAGAACAGAACAATGGCTCTACCCATTCCAGGTACAGTTTGAGAAACCACGTGCATTTTGCACCCTGCTTTCTAAAAAATACATTCTACAGTTTTTCAATTTGTAGAACTAACCACCTGTAATAGCAAAGGAAAATAACAAACTGTGCATTTTAAAGTTAGCTTTTCTTTCACCTTTACATATTTTAGTGCAAAATATTTTAGGGTGAGGATTTACAACCAAAATGGCAGTAGCAGCAAGAAATCTTGGTTTGTACAGTAACAACAACGCTAAGGAGTTTTGTTTTTTTAAGTGACAAAACAGTATCCTGTTACCAGGATCAGCATATCTAAGTGTTTCAGGCACTGTATTAATTAAACTAGCACCCCATTTCATTATGGAACTAATGGACAAAACGTGTCATGGAGATCAGCTCAGTTTAATTTATGCCAGAGGTTTCTTTTGAAAGAAATTACAAAGGCTTTTGCTTTTGCCAAACGTGTTTAAACAGAAGGGTTTGTTTCTCTGATTACTGGCATGTTCTTAGCAATTAGTTTCAGTCCTTGCCATGAAGACACTGCTCAACATTATGAAACTTTAAACCTCTCACGGCATTTTCAACTGGGGAATTCTCTCGTGGAGAGATCTGATGCTTAAAAACACAGTAGCAGAACTAATATTACATGGTTTAAATGTTCTCATGAGAAACCATTTTTTTTTGTGATGAGGAAGAGCACAACTAATATTTCAGGCTTAAAGTCAAAACCATAGGTAACACACTTTTAGAGACCGAGATAAAAAGCCCACTTAGTCTTGAAACATCTGAAGGACGTAACATTACCATTGTACACCAACACTGGGTTCGTTTCTTCCGCTCAGAGAAGTGAAGAAACTCATGTGACACTGATTGTCTCCACTGAAAACAAAACGCGCGGGGTCCTCAGATGTACACACGCCGCAGGTCAGTCAGGTTAGATGGGTAAGGATGGAGAATTCCAGACAGGATAAAACCTACAGCAGTTCCCAGAGTTACGACCCAGTAGAGTGAAGGCTGGGGATTGGATAGAATTTGGAAATCCGGCTTTGTGTTGAAGGATTAAGGCATTCGGATTCTCCAGTCATTTTAAAGAAAACTTCCTGTTCCTGCAGTTTTCTGGCAAATTCTTCTTCCAGCGTCTAAAACCAAAATCAGATTGCCTCAGAATTAGCAAGACAAAGTACAAGAAACCCATTATTGCGGTGACATATTGGCCGATATAACGCTGTAACTTCATACACAGCATCAAAAAAAGTCACCCAGCAAACATGAAATTGCAAGACAGCCAAGACACCACAAGCCAAGAACATCATCTGCCTGTAGGACACTCTCTGAACCATTTGAAAATCTAGCACTTTCCATTTTAAATTAAAATATGGACCCCAAAACCAAGTTCCACCACCCTCTATCTGTTATTTAGCACTCAATATTTGCAGTAACCCACTGGCTTCCGAAAGAAATCTGGGTTTAGGAATGCATCTCCAGCTAAGTTTTCCATGCAAACACACACACACACACACACACACACACACACGTGCTGCAGGAGGGAGCTGGTAACACACAGACTGTTTTGTTGCACCTGCCCTTTGCTCAGCTTTTGCATTTTTTTAACATCTTTTATTATTCAGTGAACTATAACAGCTTTGTACAGCAGCTTGATTCTCCTCTGCAATGCTTTTGTACTGTCTGTATTTGGTTGATAAAGCCCTTGATTATTTCCCGATTCGAGAACTGCTCTGATTTACCTTCTTTCTCGGTCTCAGTTTCTCTCTCCATTCCTTCAGTTCTTGGCTGTGCTCTTCATCCAGCTCCTTTAGTTTCTGAGTCTCATGCTCAACCAGTAGATGGCATTTTTCATTCTTAAAACAAGATACAGATAATCCTTATGTAAAACTAATTCAGATTAGGCAACTCAACATTTGTACAGTGACATATGTTGTCCTAATTCTTTTTAATTAGCTTATTCTGTGTAAATAGTGACGTGAATAATTACAAGATAAAAGTATGTTACGAGGCTGCATTTTCAAAAGCTGATCTTTCCATCAGGGCCAATTGCGATAAGAAACGCTCATAAATCCAAACACTGCTGAGTGTCATTAAGGCAGGAGCTGAGAGTGTTACTCAAAACTGTGTTTCACTGCTTATTAATGCTTTTCAAGGTCAGACAGCATTTCTGCTTTGCTTTCTAAAGACAGTCTGTACAATTTATTAAAATCAATTACATTAAAGATGAAGCTGTTTTCTTGGAAATATTTCAACTCTTGGTGCCAAGAGCTGAGACGAACAAACAGGGTTTAGAGAGGGGAGAAATGTGGTTGCAGAAGCAGCCTAGGAAAAGGATAATCAAACCACATCTCAGCTCCACATTCCTCTCCGTCAGGTACCCAGGCAACTGCCTCCCTTTCAGAGGACTTCTGAAGAGTAGCAAGAAAAAAATTAAGTATTTAGGTACATCAAATCGTTGCTTTTTTTTTAAAAGCAGTTGGCAATGGTCATGTTTCTGGAGTCACGGTCCCAAATGGGTCTGATGCAGAGCACAGAACCACAGCAACAGAAAAGACAAGCACTTGTCTAGACTTGAGTGCAGCAAGGGGCCAGTTTTCCTTGTGAAGCTCAGAGCAGCCCTAATCTGTTCAGTTTTACTTGAGCTGAAACTCTCACAAGACTCCTACGGTACTTGGGGATTTACTGAGGCACATTAGTGGCACAGCCAGGGACTGTTTCTGCAGCATGTAAGAAAGGGAACTGAGTAGAACGAGCTTCATTGGTGGTTGCACGATTTCTCTAAGCAAAGGTTATCAGCAGGTGATCATTTAATGCTTTAAAACTGCCTTGTGTCCCTGAAATAGGGAAAAGCTGATTTAACGGAAAAGGAGATCTGGCCTCTGGTACACAGCAGAAACTTTTACTAAATGCATACCAAAAGGGACAGAACAGAGTTCCTTATGGCAAGAAAAGAATTCCTTTTAAGTACCTTCCAGAAGCTCATGTACAAGTGGCAGCACTTTGTAAAAACCTCCTCACTCACGCATTGCTGCAAACATCTTGTTGGTGACGCCTGGTGCTGCCTACCTCTGTTCTGATTAATGACATTTCAGTAAAACCAGGTTACAGGAAATGTTGCCTACACAAGATAGCCCTGGGAACTTGACAGGTATTCCAGAAGTGATCATCTGTTTCTGGTTCGTGCTCTTCTTGCATTTAAAATGATTTCTCATTAACTGACGGAAGCACATGAATGTGGTTACGCAGTGAGCTGCAGGCCTCCGAAAGTAGAGTTGAAACTCTACACTGATCAGTAAAAATGAAGGAAAAGATGTTTCTGCTTTGCCTGCATCCGTTATGAACCCCAGTCTTCCCACTGAATGGTCATTTAATATCATCTATTTTTAACCTGTAACTGATGCAGTTCCCTGATGTTTGCTTCACACTGCAGCTGAAGGTCCCGCATTTGGTTTTCGTGTTTCTGATGCTGAGCCAGTCTCTCATTCTTCTGCCTCTTCTCTTCTTGAACAGCAAACTAAAATTAAAAATAAAAAGATTATTTATATTGTGCCTCTGAATACAACAGTTTACATGAGCCAAAGAACTGCATGTAACAGAATGAACACACACTGAGAAGAATGGTTTCAGAAGATTTAAGCAATAATTTTCTCTACTCTTTCTTTTTTAAAATCTTCACAAAGGGAGTGCCCTCACAGTTTTAATTCCCTTTCTCTGTCTGCACTATGATTTTTCCTTAAAACACAGCACATTTCACCACCAGACTCCTCCAGTTATCTCCCTCTGAAGATAAGTGACACAGCAGTGTTGCTGCAGGTGTCGGTCAAGGCTGGTGTTACACAGCCACAGGACGCCTTATTTTCCAGATCTTTCATCCTTCCAGTGCTCACCATATGAAACCATGACTTGGGACTTCGGTGCATCTGTAGAAAGCAAACCTCTCAACATCTTCACAGCATTCCCTTTTAAAGAATGAGTGAATATCCAGAGTTTTAGTTCATAAGCTCGCAAAAATCAAGCATCCTCAAAAATATTTCACAGAATCACAGAACGGCTGAGGTTGGAAGAGACCTGCAAAGATCAACTTCCCTACTCAAAGCAGGGTTGACAGAAACAAGCTGCACAGCTCTGTATCCAGCTGGGTTCCAGGCATATCTGCAACCTCTCTGGGCAACCTGTTCTGCTGTCTGACCACCCACACATTAAAGAAGTGTTTTCTTATGTTCAAATGGGATTTTCTGTATTTCAGTTGTGCCTGTTGCCTCTCACGCTGTCACTGGGCACCCTGGGAAGAGTCAGGCTCCCCCTTCTTTGGGTACTTATACACATGGATAAGACCATCCTGAGCCCACTCTCCTCCAGGCTGAGGCATCCCAGGCATTTCAGGTGGCTCCGCATGCAACAAGACCCACGAGTCCCTGGGTCAGATTCAAGGCCCTTTGCAGGACTTGCTCCAATAAATTCATGTTTGTGTTGTTTTGGGAAACCCAGGACTAGACCCAGTGCCCCAGAAGAGTCTCACCAGTGCAGCAGGGAAGGGTGATTTCCTCTGACCTCATCCAGTGCATCAGCTCAGCTTCGTACCATCTGTGAACCTGTGAGGGTGCACTCTATCCCATTCTCACCTTTGGCATTTACACTCTTAAAACTAAATATAAATTTAATAATTACCTGCTTAATTTTTTCACGATCTTGGTCTGGAGAGGCTAAGGAATTGATTCTTAAACTTTTCTTAAACATCGCCATGCGAGTCTTTGCTTCACTTCGCTGGATTTTAGGCAGTCTGGCTCTTTCCTGAGTTTGCTTGTTCTTTAACTCCTCAATAAGGCGTTGATTGTATCTCTGCATTTGTTCTGTTTCCTGCAATGTCAACCACGTGGAAATGTTACAGAGTAACCATCAGTGTTGTACAATTTGTATCTCATTTCCTCAATAGGCACCGGGTGTGATTCAGAGACTCCCAACAGAGACCAATCCCATCAGCACAGTGGGCAGGAGGGGCTTCTTCCACAGAGCTCTGCATCATGCCCAGCCCTGATAAGATTCTTCAATTAATGTGAATACACACATATTTTACTAGTGGTCGCTCAAATCCTGAATTGCCTTTTAAAAAGTCTGTTGTTCAAAGGGAGAAACTTCTGTGCACCTGAGCTCCTGGGCTGCAGCTGTGAAGGGGCAGTTTGCTGCAAAGGCTTTGGAAACAACAGCCAGTATGGGATGAACCAGAGTGGACAGGAATAGGCCTTCAGTGGAGGCTGTTCATGTTCTGATCACTGAGGAGATCCTCTAACAACTCCACATTGGTTTACATTTTCGAAAATTGAACTATTTTCTTTAGTGTATTCCATAAAACACCAAATGACTCAGGGAAAATAAGGATTTCACAGGATTTAGCTATAAAGAGACAGTTGTCAGCTACTTGCCCAAAAGCTAATCCAGTTTATTCTGCTCATTTAATTCCATGATGATTTACTTCTGAGTAGATTTATTTAAACACAAGTCAAAACTGATTTGGTATCCAAGCAGAATTCAGTATTTTTAATATAAACAGGTTGATGTTGGGATGGGTTGGGGTTTTTTTTAAGATCAAAAGAGATAAATATTACTACTGATACTTTTGCATACTACTAAGGTATTCGAGTATGATGATTAAGATTTTTTAGTTTCAACAGCTACAAAACACTTGTGCGGGTCTTGCCTCTGCAAATAAACAACTACCAGAAGAGACCATAAGACTACTGATAAAAAAAATGGACATTATAATACACAAGAGAATGTGTCAAAATCAACACTAACCTTCTCGTGCCTCTTGAGCAGCTGGTGTCTCTGCATGAAGTACTGATCTTTGAGCTGCTGTTTGAGGAGCTGGTGTTTCTCTTGCAGATGCCGCTCCTCCAGTTCCCAGATTGCAGCTTCACGAGCTGGAAAAAAGGAGGAAGCTGGTTCAGAAAGTGCAACAACCATACAGTGGTTCCCAATCTACCTGCTGATGTATGTTTAGAAGTAGCCTACAAGTGCATTTTGAAAACAATGTTATTCCACAGAAAATACTTTTACTACCATTGTAAATTAGTCATGAAGGTCTTCTTAGAGTGAAGACAGAATATTGTTTTATGAAAACAGAAGGGCCTGTTTTTAAAGAGAGCCTGATGCTGGATACCTCTCATGAGCTGCTGTTTGTTGTTGAGGCAATCTCGTTCAATAGTGGCCAGTTCCGTCTTCTGCTGCTGAATAATTTTCTTCAGAGATGCATCCAGTTCTTGTTGCTGCTTCTGCACAAACTCCTGCTCCTGGTAAAAACCAATAAAAGTAAATTAAATTTTGTTCTTCTAACCATATTACATTTGAATGAAACTCCCAGTTCTCTCAGCATTAGCTATATATGAAAACAAATGCATCTATGAAATTTTGAGCTAGCATGCCTTGACTATCAAATCATCCGTCTTGTGTATTTTCTATGTACAGAGTAAGTAAGAGCATATTTAATATTTAAATAATACCTTCAGAAGTAAGACCAAAGGCAACAAACCAGCCAGCAATCTGCAATTCATTCCATCTCTTGTCTCTCCTCAGAACAAGCTGCAGGTTCAGAGCTAGCAAACACAAGTGCTCAGTATAAAGTTGATCTCATTCTATCAAGGGTTAATTATTCATGTAGGTAAGGAAATAAAAGTATGCATGGTTGTTTTGCTGTGGGTGATTAGTTAAAGCCTATTTATTCACACAGATGGGTTTAAGATTTGTGTGGTTTATCTTGTCCTGAAGGCAGAGGTATTGAGGCAGGGAGTTCTGCAGGTCCACTGTGCAGACACTCCATGGTTCTGCAGGGCTGTAACCCCACACACCCGAGCTGAGCTGGCTCCTTGCAAAGTGATTTACCACCTGCCTGATGCAGCCCCCATATCACCTGCATCTTCCCTTTATCCAGGCGTATCGCTGTTGCATCCCCTCATGAAAAGCAGGCAGCAGAAGGAATCCCCCCACATCCCCCTCCCCAAACAACTTTCCTGTTGCCTTTCTTCTTGCAGCTATTGCAAACCACAGCCACAAGCATGACAGCATGCACACACCCCCCCCTGTAAGAACAGGGAGTTAAATGAGATGCTTCTATCAAACCACATCAAGGTCAAAAAAAGGACAATTCAATGTCCTGTCAGAGCCAAGGGGAGCTGCTGAAGCACCTGCTGCTCTGCACAACAAAGCAGCACTAAAGATGGTCTGTTGGAAGGGAGATGGGAAAACTGGGCTGCACCTGATCAGTGGAAAGGTGTTCTGAGCTATTCTTATTTTTTTTACCGAACTTATGGTACTTGCTAAAAAGAGCTGTCAGGTGAAATTAAATGTTCATTTAAAGTACTTTTTATCATGACCAGAAGAATCCTGGTTTTCATCTTCACGGAAAGTTATTAATAGATGAGGCTTTCATCTCTCTCAGTGGACAGCAGTTACACTGAGAAAGGTAATACAAAACCAGAGGTGAAGTAAGGTGACAGAGACAGACCTGGGGGTACAGAAAGAACTGGGAGGTGATGTCTGTAAATTAAGTCAGACATACTAATCAAATACATGAAACGATGAAAAATACTGTTGTTTCCTTTTCTAGATGAAAAGGATAAGACTACAAGTTTATTTTTCTGAGGGTGCAGACACATAATTAACACAGTGTTTAATTTGCTGGGAGTTTTTTGATTTGAAGGGAGAAGGGGAAAGCTGTTCTGGTGTGGTCATGGTCAAAAAGTGATTAGGCTTGAGTTCTACACAATCATTTAAATATCATTGCTCTTCTCTCTAAATCTTAGGAAGTTTTGTACCTGCTAGCACTATAAGATAAACCAGGCAATCTCAGGAAACACTCTGGCCTTTCCACTTCCCACATCTACCCAAGTACCACACAAAATAAAGGTCATCGAGTTTACCAAAGAACTTGTAGGTTGTTTCAAAGGCAGACAGAGCAAGACAGCTCACTTTTTTCAAGTTACCACTTGGTTTTGCCCAATAAGTATCTTAAAATAAACTCAGATATCTTTAAAATACATAGTTTCACTGCACACACAGCATACAAGTCACACAATGTTTTTCACATGTGCTGAACAAATAATAAAAGAGAACAGTATTATATTGCATGTGTGAAACCTCAGTGTCTTGCCCAAACTAAGTAACTAACGTAATTTTGACCTTTTGACTATGAAAAGTGCATAATTACAAATTTGATCAGCACATATGATCAGAAGGAGAGGAGAAGACACGCATCTGGAAAGTTAGGAAAATAAAACTTTGGTTGTTTTGCATTTTAAGACTTACATCCTGCATCTGTGCGTTGAAAAGCGTACATGAAGACAACTGAAAAGACTGAATCATAACCTGAGCAACGCCCTGTGGGACACAATGTACTTCCTATGTCATGATATAATGAAATATACTTTTATTCTTAAAAAAAGGAAGAAATTATACCTGGTGTGTGTTAGTAATAAGCATTTAAAATGTCAAGGCTCATCACAGAAGTAGATGCTGACAATATTCTAAAATTAAACATCTGCACCCTGTCTAGTACTTATCATTCCAAGTAAGGATATCTCACATTTTAAATTTTCTCTTTCACCTCTCTTTAACAAAGAGAAACCAGAAAACGAAATAAAACAAGTTGCTACAAACACTGTGAAAAACTAGAGATTTGTTTCCTGAAAAAATTCAGAGACAGGTATCTTTGGTATGAGGAGAGCACTGCAATTCCATCCCATTCTATCCTGGGAAATCCCCTCTTAAACACATAATCGAATAAAGTTGCTATTATTTTCCACTAGGCCACTCAAATAAACATTTAATCTTTAAGTTCTTAGCCCAAACCTGCTCTGCTGTGGTTGAAACTCATTCTGTACAAGCTGTGGCCAACACAAAGCCAATATTTTTCTAAAATACTTGCCCTCTTTTTAGCTGGGTCATAAAAAAGCAGCGAGTCTGAAGGCACGAAATTGTAGATGATGTCTTGCAACGTTTCCGTACACCTACACTTTGACATTTAAGTAACATTTTACCTAATCTGTTCTGCTTCTATAAACAAGATGCCTCGTGCTTACATATTACATACACTTTCCTCCCCTGCACTTGTGTTGTTCAAAACTTACTTCTGACTGCAACCCTTAAAATCCGAGGGACCCGTGGGGTACTTACCACTCGTAAAAGCACAGTAAATAAACCTGCTGTAGAGAATTACCCTTCTTGTTCAGTACAGCACGCAAACCATTACAAACCCGGGAACTGCTGCTCCTACATGTCTACCCAGTTTAGTCTGAGAGATGTGATAGGGGAGCACTCGAAGGAAGAGAGCAGTACGGAGGGTTAGTTTGAGTTAAGTTCCATATTCACTCAACAACAACAAGAAGTGAAATCATCAAGCTGTGTGAATACTGCTGCCTTTTGTATTTTAGTAGCTTGAAGCTGCCGTTGTTACCTGAGCATGCTGGCTTTGTGCAAGCTCCTCTTTCTTGCGTTTCATGAGCTCTTTTCTCAGCTCTTTTGGTGCTTTCTCCACTTCACATAAAACCTACAGTGTATATAAGCATGCAGAAGGTGGCAAAAAGAACACTTTTTCTCCACAGCAAGCATTACTGTGAACACAGGACATGCAGGTCAAGCACTAGAGGTACTGGGAAGCATGCATTTACTTCAGTGGCAGGGATGTTAGTTTAGTGAAAAGAGCTTAATGAAAAGAGAAGGAACAGTAGGTGCTTTATGCATGCCAGCAGTGCAGAAAGGAGGGATGTGCCAGCCGCTTTTTGCATGCAAATGCTGCCCTGTGCTCTCAGAATTGGAGTCTCTCGCTTGTGTTTCCATGCAGCAGCCAGAAGAGTCAATAGTTAAGAAAATCACCACCTGCAAAAGTGGTATTTTCTTGAAGCACTGCGGCAAAAGAACTACAGAGTATGTTTACCTCATGGTAAAACTGTGAAAAACAGTTGGAAGTTTTTTTAAACTTCCACTGAAAAACAGCTATTTCTGACACTGTCTGTAACTTGAATTTACAAGATGCCATTATTAGTGTCTCCAACCATAAATGACATCTACACAGGTTATGTCTTTAAAACAATAATACAAGCAAAGTATTATTTGGTTGCAAGTGTTTGGTTCTGAAGAATTTAAAGCAAAACCCACCAATAACTACATTTTCAAGAAACTATTCGTGACATATGCTGGGACGGAACGTGTTTCAGTTCAAGGTGAATTAGACTAGATTAGCTGAAAGATTCTAAATATAACCTGGCTAAATCAACTGACTATTAATCTGTTAATTTGCTAATGTGTTTTATTTGGTTTTGAGACTTATAAAAATGTAGCATTGCACACTCCAGTGTAGCATGGACAGTTTTAGAGCACCAGCTGCATTTTCCTCCAAACTGTACATCGCCTTTTTAAGCTTTAAACACAAAACTACGCACCCAGAAACAAATGCCTGTTTGTTTAATAGTGGAAGCATCATAAGAAAACAGAGTCCAAATCACCACATGCTACTCCTGTTTCCATGAAAGAACTGCTTTTAGCTCAGAGCAATAAGTAAAATTCTCCCCGCTTTCCCATGTAGGACCCAATCACCAGTAAATAGAGAGAGACTCAAAAATGCAAGAGGTACCACAAAAGAAGAAAAATTGTTATTTACATTTGAGCATACGGTTCAAACTGAATACAACTTATTTCTTTAATGCAGTTTTGTGCTACAGGATCATTCTATGCATAAGCATGGACACTACAGCTTTCTAAAGTAATCTCTGAGTCTAGGAACTATTAGAGCAAACACTAGAGCCATTCATATATAAATGGGCACTATACAATTGATCCAAAAATGAAATAAAACAGCTTTTAAGATGCAAAATCTACATGGAATCACATACTTTCTCTTACTCTAATGCAAGCAAATTAATAGCACAAGGTGTCATTGTCAGCTGTCATTCATTTTGCCTTAACTGTATGACACGTATGAGATTAACTGTAAGAGATCTTAGGTTATCCACACTTCTCTCTCCTGGCTTTCTTTTTTGAGCTAAAAAGCCAAATCCATGTTACTGCTCTCACTTCATATAAAGAAATTCTAAACAATAACAGCACACTCTCGATGAAAATCTAACAAATTACACTAACAAAAAAGAAACACATCTGAAATTAAAGTAGTTCTCAGTAATAATCAAGACTGTATTGTCTTTGAAATTCTAATCTGATAAGTATTTACTAAGTAGCCATAGTTGGATTTGTTTAAAGTAGAAAACTCAAATATTTTTCACAATCTTTAAGAAAATACTTTATTAAATATTCTGTGAAAAATAAAGTCTTCTAACATGGTGATGTTTTCTAGATTAAGTCAATACCTCAGTCTTCCAGTCAGCTGTTTGTATTTCACTTTAGGCAGTAAAACAAATGAAACAACATTGACTGCTAGTAACACTTCCACAGGTCAGTTGACAAGCCTTCTGGGAGACCTAATCTCAACTGTTTACTACGTCCATACTCCTTATTTTCTATATTGTCATCGTCTCTTACCTCTTTTTTCTTGTTTTTCAGCACGTTCTGGAATTTGGACAATTCCTTCTCCTGCTCTGCTTTGATGCGTTTGGCCTCATCCCGCAAGCGGTTCGTGTGCTCCTGTTCCAGGCGCTCTATCGTCTGCTTCTGCTGCTTCTCCAGATTTTCTATTTCTTGATCATACTGGCGCTTTTTGCTCTGTGAAAATAATTTGGCAGGTTTTTTTTTTTTTGGAAACTAAGCTCTGTTTAGTGAATGCTGTACCACGGCAGGGAATGGCCCTGATGAACTGTTCTGGCAGGCAAGTTCCAGCACACAAGCTGGGCACCCCCCAATGCAAAATACTGCTTTTTATTAGCAACAAAGAAGGTTAAGCTACAGCCATCATAAAAAGAAACACCTGATTGCTGCTAGCAGTATTCTGCCTACTCCATCAAGATGTTGTATTTTAAGAGCACCAAAATCCACAAACTCACTGTCATTTCCTGTTCAAAACGTCTGAACATCTGTTCTCGCTGTTGCAAAAGCTTGTTACTGAGTTGCTGTTGGGCTCTCTGCTCCTCCTTCTGAAGAAGTCTTAGCTCTCTTAGCTCTTGACGTCTAATAAGGAAAAAGAATCACTTAATATTGATGGGAAAGCAAAACAAGAGGAAAACTACAAAAGACAAAAAGGACCAAAACCGACTGATTGATTGTCTTAGGAAGAAACGCTTTACATTCCTTTCTACTAAAAAAATACTGTAAATTAATCCCTAAGTATTTCTGGAATAAGATCACTAGCCCACTTTTCTAATTCAAAGAGAAAAAAAATTAGCTGCTAACCTCTTGAAAACTTTATAGAAACACTTACCGTAGGAATCGCATTTCTTCGCTTTTCGAGTCATTTTCAGTAACTATTTTTGATGTGGTTACACTCACTTCTACTCCATCAACAACAAACTTCCGAGTTTTCTTCAACGTTTTCTTCTGTCTTCTGGTTTCCTAAAAGAAGCATTGGTAAGTTATTCCGTACTTATTTAACTTATATTCTTTATTCTCCTTTTTCTTAATATGAAATTGGATCAAATATTTCTGTGAATGTCTACTATATAGTACTCAGGAGTTCTTCTCACTTATCAGGTATCTCAAGTGAGAACTTGAAACATTCTAATGAACTGAAACTTTCTCTAGTCAGCAAAGGAAAACTGTAATTATTGATTATCCAAAGTGTCAGAAGAAAACAATTAATCTAGATAAACTCTGAACAAAACCGATGCAGTTTTATTTTCATGAGCTGAAGACAGCTACATTTCCTGTTTGCTTTTGACCATGATTTTCTCAGTCACCAAAAAAAGATATTTAATTCTGAAAAACAGTTCCAAAACAGAATAATAACTTACTCACCTGCTTACTTCTGCTTTGGAAATAAATGAGCTAGTCTCATTTTTTTATTCATATATATTGGCCAAAAATCATGTGATGAGATTGCTGACAACTGAAGAAATCTCAATTCTCAAAGCTGCTGTTGTTTCATTACAAGAGAAGAGACACCCCAGCTGAAACTGCATCTCCACTGTGTCAGGGCTACTGCAAACACCCTGAAATCATGTTTAGCACAGCTATGCCAAGCTATGGGGGGTTTGTTTGATTGGTTTTCTAGGTTTGTTTTTCTTCCATTCAAACTCATATTACACAGTCACTACCTTAGTATGGTTACAATCATATTAGTATAAAGATATAAATAAAGTTCACAGTCTGGAATGTGCTTCCTCTGAATAAGCTCATTCATAATGGCATCGCTGCACTGACACAGCACAGCCACAGAAGCAATGTTTGGAATAAACAAACCCAACAGAATATCTGCCTTGGGTCTCCCACACCTAAACAGAGAGACAGAAGATGGAAGCGACAGGAATTCAATATAAGATTAGATGTGACAGGAGATTTTTCCCATTAAACGGGATTTCTGTGTTGAGTAAGGCATTGAACTGAACTTCTTGCATATCAGCTCTGAACTACAGCCACTCCCAATTCCTCACATTTAATATTGTTAGAATTCCTCTTATATGCTAGTCCACCTTTTTAAAATACCATTATGCAATAAATGAAGAAAATAATTAGCATAAACATGCAAAATCCAGACATTGTTATGCTGTGCAATTTAGAATACTTTGGTTTCTACAATTTGCCACACTAGTTTCTCACTCAACACTTTCCTTTGCAGCACAAATCAAACTTGGAGGTAATTTTAGGGTCACACTCACATGAGATTTTACATTAAAAAATACATGATTGCTTACACTTACCTGTAAAGATATTGATCCTGTCTCTTTGTTCTTACTAAGGAAACTAGAAATTGACAAGTTCAAATCAATGCTGCTGTTATCAGCTGTAGAACCAGTGCCTGAATCGGCATCATTTTCCTTCAAATTCTCCGGCTCTACCTGCTGGGAAGTTTCAGTATTGCCTCGATTATCCGTTTTGACCTTCTCATTTTCTTCAGTGCTAATACTAATACTGGGGACTGGAGCGACTTCAGAGTCATCAGCTTGTTCACTGACAGCATTTTGAAGCTTATCCTTCGTTACTTCATCAGAAGTAACTTCCAAACGTTCTTTGGCTGTCTGAATGTTGTTTTCCTGGATATTTTCAGCTCTGCGCTCTCCTGAATTTTGGTCCATATCAGTCAGTTTATCCACCACTTTAGAAACATCCTCAGGTTTGCTCTGTATTGCCTTCTGGTCTACGACATCTTTTCCAGAGTCTTTGATCTTTGCTTCCTCCGTACTGCTTATATTACTAATATCCTCATTTTCACTTTCTGCCGGTTTCTCGTCTACTTTGATCACTTTATCTTGGCTTTCTGACAGAGTTTCCTCAGAGCTGATTATCTCATGGACCTGCTTAGCCTGACTTTCCACTGGCTTATCCTCCAGCTCAGGTATTTTATCCCCATCACTGATCGGTGTTTCAGCAATACCACCTATCTCCTTAATGTTGTCAATTCCGTGCTTTATTAATTCCTTTTCTTCATCAGACACTTCAACTGTAGCATTAGGTACAGTTTCTGTAGTGGTGTCTATTGTTGCCTCTTTCCGCTCTTCATCTTTATTCTCCTTTTGCTCTGTGTTTTTATTTTCTACAGGGACCTTCTCTTCTTTAAGTCCCAAGAGATCTGTTCTGTTCTCCTCTTCTTTCTCACCACTTTCCTTAGAAATGCCTTCCTCATCTTCTACACTGTTTTCAGTTGTGGGTACTCCTTTCAGTTTATTATCTTCTGCTTGTTCATTTGCCGTGGACTTTTCTTTCTCTATTACAGGTTCATTCTTTATTTCAGATTTTGTTACCACTTCAAGTTCTTTCCCTGCTTTCTGGGGTTCTGTATCCTTATCTGGTTTTTCCAGGCTTTCTGTGTCCTTTCCTGCTGGCATTATTTTGCCTTGCTCATCTTCACCAGTTGGCACAGAACCATTTTGTACTTTAATATCATTAATGGTCATATCACATATCTTATCACCTGCTTTCCTAAATTTAATGTCCTCAGATTCATCCCCAGTTGTTTTGTCCTCAATTGCATTATTTCCTGTTTTCTCGGAGAGAGATTCCAGGACAGAGGCATTCTGTGAAAGTTTATCCTCCTCAGAGCTGGCAATGCTAAGGTCGGAGGATGCACGCTTCTCTGCAGGTAACTGCTAAAAAATTAAAGGAAGAGAAACACTTTAACATTTTGTAACTTAATCAAAGCACAGCTCTATGGAAGAATATCTGAACAGAGATTAATACTGTATTTACAGGCAAAGAATTTGATAACCTCAGAGTACTTCACTTGGTATTACCACAGAACAAGCGCACAAACTGCAGACAGGCTCTGAACAGAAAGTTTCACAAAAACCCTCTTCCATATCTCCTAATTGAATAAAATACACTGTGATTGAGGGAAAGGGATTATGGTCATCAGCCACGCTTTAAGAGTCTTTTTCTTTTCACACTTCTTTTTTTTTTTATCAGTTCAGTTCTTCAACAGTACCAGCTACAGTTGGATTTGAAAGACACATTTTTGTGCCAGTTTGGCTAGAAACAAACTGTGTAGCTTTGGCTAGAAATAAACTGTGCAGCACTGATAAAATGAAATATTAAGACCTTCTTCTACTTCACTTTGTGTTCTTTGTTAAAAATGTCTGGAATTTTTTAATCTGTTTTTTTAATCATGTAAAACTCTATTAAAATGGTGAAAACTTCCAGCAGATCTGATTAAGCGGCAATACAGAACTAGAACAGAAACAGTTACCTCACTGTAGAAACTGCTGCTGTCAGAATGTGAATGTTATCAGATTACATACAGACATACAAAAGAATATACTAATAAAGCACCATTTTAGCCATAATTGACCTTTCACTCTTCAAAGTGATTGCGATATCTCTCTGTCTGTATTTACTGTCAGAACCCTGTAATTTGCAGATCAGGCTCCCGATTTGCCACTGGGAACATCCCAGGTTAGCTGTTGCAGCAAGCACAGGTTTGATTGTGCATTTCTTGCCTTGCTGGTTTCCCAGGCATATAGAAAACAATTCCTTTAAAGTTGAAATTTCATTTCAAATATTTCTTCACAAAATTACTCTAAAAGCTTAGTGTTGATCTCCAAGCAGTGTTTAAAGCTACCACAAGTAAATAACGTGAACGCATCTACCTCACAGTTCCTTAAAATGCTGCTTTTGAGATATTTAACTGAGTCACAGGGCGGACTTCACTCCAGCCCTCCTAGGGATTGATGGCTTCGCGGTGCATCAGCGGGAGGAGGTGGTGGATGATCCTCAGGAGATGGAGAATAAGTCCTGGAGGAAGCTGGTGGGAATGAACGCTTGGAGATTTGCTGGGGTGGACTGGGAGTGGGGTGTGAAGGTCAGGGGATGTGAGTAGCACGGTGATGGGAGAGGAGGAAAAGAAGGGATCTGCTCCTGCATTTGGCTGGTAATGGCAGGTCCTGATGGTGCTGGGCACTTGCACCAGTCAGGTCAGGAAGCACACGGCCTGTGCACTCTGCAACCTGCCACCCCATCACTGAACAAAGGGGCTTTCCCCTCTGAGCAACCGTATTTGCCTGGTAAGATTCTTAAAGCATCTCCAGAAATACATCCATAAATGCAATCCTGCCTTTGTAAAATATTGGGGGTTTTGGCTTTTCTTTTTTTTTCTTTGAGAGCCACGCTGTAAAATCACAAACTTAGTTTACAGCATAATAGACAAATAATCTTTCTTAATCTTTTAAACACTTCATGGAATACAAATGTAGGTTTACTCGTTCATCTAGTCATTTTGACTTAAAACCATTCACACAAAAAGCAGTATCCCGTTTTTAATATATCACGTATATATGTAAAAAAATGAAGATGTTAGTCTTTCTTATTTATTAGTAGGAGTTTAAGAACATGCTAATTTTGAAATAGTTGACTACTTATTTTGTAATAAGGTTAGAGTATGTTTATGATGTTAATTTTAGAAGATTTCCTGCAAAAGTCAGCTTGTACATGGAGAAACTGAATTCTCCATGGTAAACTGCAGATTGCATATTTAAAAAAGCAAATTTTAAACTAACCAGAGAATTCTCTGTTTCCTCTTCTTCATCCTCATCTTTACCATCTTCAACTTCTTCTGTAACTTCAGCCTTTGCTTCTGCAATCAATTCTCTTATCGGTTTATTGGAAGTAACAGTAACAAATGGATGCTTGTGAAAATAAAAAAATAAGCACAATATTAAGTGCTGACCTCACTGTACACAGTGGGAAAATCATAACTTGAAAGAAATACAACTTCAGAGAAACGTTACTGTGGTTCTCTTAAATTTCAAGATTCACAATTAACATAAATCATAACTGTCCTAATACATTTTTTCTGCTGAAGTCTTGAAAATCAAAACATTTGTATTCAAGCATATTGTGTAAGGAGTTTAACAAACTTGCTAAAAATATAAATAATTCATTCATACTGACCTTTTTCACAATCCAAAGAATAGAAGTAGAAATATTTTTAAAAAGGTTATTTTTCTTGGAAACAACTTTCATTTCAGTTCCACAGTTAAATTATTTCCTGATAAGCTTTATCTAGGATTATTCTTTCTAGAACAAAACGTGCTTTGTCCTTAGAACAACTTTTTCTAACACAAACTGGAATTCTACTTTTTTCCTTAAGAGCAAAGAGGTACCTGTTCTCCTACTGTCTGAATCTCCTTTCTCTGCTTGGCCCTGCTGCTTAAGTCTACTCAACATATGGCAGATGGATTGTGGATGAAGTAAATGCGTGCTGACGTTAAACAGAATCAAATGTACCTGCTCACATCTATTCCTGTTCTGCAGTGACAGCATTACAGGGCAGGGCTGAGTGCTAAAGCTTTTAGAACACCTGTCAGCAGCTGACTACACACATAAATATCTCCTTCATCCACTACAGCTATCAAAGTATAATTACTTACACTAAGTAATTAGTTATATCACATCAAAATATGTTAAACAAGTAATCTGATCTGCACTCGGCATCATTTAACCAAATTTTATCAATTAAGGATCAATGCATCAATTTTAAAAGCAGGTTGTGTATGAACACTCAATTTGAAATAATTTAAATAGTTACTATAATACTGCTCTGCTTTTAAAAAGTACAAAATATGCTTGCCTTTAAACAACAGTTCTGAACAATTAACTCTTCCTACCTGTAACAGCTGAGTTGCACTCCACCTTGCATCTACATTCTTTTCCAAACATTTCTTCAGAAAATCTTTAAAATCTGATGACCTACATGAAAAGCAAACAGGTAGCGGTTGTTCTTCTGTCTTAACATCAGACAAAAATATACTGAAATATTCTTCTTCTTTCCCATGAATCTACACTGCAAGTCCAGGTTCTTCTACTGATTCAGGGAAAAACAAAGAGGAATGCCAAGACCACCGTGGCACAAATACAACCTTTAAACTGTTGGTCCGTTAATAGAAGAGTTCATTTTTTGTTCTGCATTTTTAATACATCACATCTACTACACTACTAACTGAACCATGTAAAGGTATTAAATTGACCAACTATATAACGCCTTCTAAAAATATTTTCTTAGTCTAAAAATGCTTTAGTCTCCTTTTACACAATCTTTTTTTTCAGATGGTCTTCAGATCTGTTACTGCATTTATAAAAAGCTATTTCACATGCATTTTAATGCAAAATCTGCAAAGTACTTCTGTATAAAAGGTTCTATACACAACTATGACAAAAAGCCCCCAGTTCCAATTGTGTGAGCAGATGTCTATGTGTGTGTACACATGTACAAACCTCCACAGGATATAAAGCCAGACCACAAAGTTTAACAGAGCTCACACATGTGAAGTTTAGCAAAAAGACAGCTTGGCATGCCTTGCACTCAAAACCTACAGACTGGGGTGGGAAAGTTGTAAATAAAATACTAACCATTTTGAAGGCTGTGCTAAGGTGGGAGGATCAGATTTTGCAATTTTCAGAAGCACTCGCATGGGATTTAATTCATGATGAGGTGGCTCTATTTGAGCCATTTCTATCAAAGTAATGCCAAGAGACCAAATGTCAGCCTTGTAATCATAAGGCCTGTCTTTAGAGGTCTCACACATCACTACTTCTGGAGCCATCCTGCGAAGAGAAGAACGAAGTACCAGATTAGAAAATGCATTCTGATCTGTTCTGAGAACATTCTAAATACGTACAGTCACTGAAGAAGCACGTTCTACCCTCATTTAATATATTTACACAATATTTACCAAGCTTGTAATAATAACATAAAGTAGTATTAAGTTATGAGTTCTTCCTAAAAAGTCAGCGAAACAGTGCACTCACCAATATGGGGTACCAATAAAAGAGTCTCTTCTTTGTATTGTTCTTGTGTTTTTAGCTGACACTCCAAAATCCGCTTAAAGCAAACAGTAAAATACTATTAATGGGGTGGTGGAAAACGTATTATATTTTTTATTTTATAATTGTATTTTCAATGTTATATTATCCCAGAGCAAGCAGTCAGAGGTATTAAAACTTCAAAGTGAAATAAAAATATTGTGTTTGGATAGCTAAGTGCCAAGGTTTTAGAGCATTTCTAACACAAGACTTCGATTAAAACTTATTTGCCATTTCTAAAACAAAAAGTCGTGCTACTGTTGGGCTGCGTGGGACAAGAGCAATATATGTATTTACTATAAGAATAACTGATTTAAATTATTTTAATTAGAAACTATTTTCTTTAGCCTATGAAGTCTGTATTCCTCAGACATGACATTAACTCTTCAATTCGACAGCTCATTCAATTTTTAATTTCAGGACTCAGATTCTCATGAAGTACTATTTTTCCTTTATGTTATAGGTTTCTTTTCACATGATTTTCACTTTACATCAAATATCTGAAAGCTTACATATCCACCTTTGATGTAATATCCAACCAAAACACAACTTTATCTTTGCAATTACTTATCTACAAAGCACTACATTTCTCACCTAAAAAAAAAAAAAGACATTTAAATAGCTGTTGTATGCTTATTATAGATGTAGTTTTGTTAATGAAGATCTAGAGATTAGAGCAAAGGGACAAAAATAGCCATATGTTGCCATCTTTAATCTGTACAAAATTACTTGATGGGCTCAACATTTGAGAAATGTAATTGTGCTGTGTGAAAAAAAAAAAAAAAGGACTTCTGCAATGGTTCAAATGCAAAATCTGAAATCTTGAAGGACTAGAGATACTGAAATAATAAAACTCAAATCCTTATACAAATAAAGTGCAATAAAGGAAATTTGTCATTTACGGATCTGTAAAACAAGGAATTACCCATTTCTGTGTATAGCAGAATCAAAATACAAATAGTTTAAAAGTAGTAAAATGCTACTTCAAATCACACTGTACACTTTTCAAAGCTAAAGCAAATATTTTTTTCAGAAATCTTAATTAGCAATCCTGAATGCAACGCTAAATGTAAGTGTGGAAGAAAACTCCCTGTGGTGTGAACTGTTAAGTCGTATCTTGAGAGCCTGCAAGGTGCTGTGTATCAGCTAAGCTTGACAAAATCTTAAAATAGTTCCAAGTCTGTGTGAGGAGAAGCCAGGTCATGTGAGGAGATGAACAGAAACAAATGACTCGCTCTGACCATGAGACTCCTGCTATGATCTGTGGTTTCTTTTACAGCAGTACTAAGAATCTAAGATAGCAGTTCTATTACTTTTAAAAATAAGGCCTATGACCCCCAGTCCATCACTAAATCTTCAGGGTTTGTAGAAAAGCTAAAACAATAAAGTTACATGTTCTTTGCAGATTAAAAGAAAGGCAGATGCAAGGAGTATATCCACAGGCAACAGTCTTGTGGAAGGGGATCCATGCAAAGAGCACAGACTCACTAAACTGATCAATACAGCAAAGCAAGTTCTTAAATATTCTCATCTTCTTACCAGAGATGATGCCCTGAACCTTGCCAAGACTCTGGATCAGTACGAGTTAGGGAGCAGACATATTTCTGACTTTGGACGTACCTTGTTTACATTTACAAGGATTGTCTGTAGCAAGGCTGGGAGTTCAGGGCCCCAGTTCACTCTGCTGATATTCTGATTCTCCTTACCTTTACCCTCTGTGTAACGTGCTTCCAAAGAAATACACCTAATCACACACCCCATGCAGAGAGAAGGTTCTGAAACGTGAGTGTGAGCTGCAATGTCATGGAACTGTGGGTAGAGCCGCTGCAAAGGCTGACAGCTTATACAAATTTGCCCCGAAACAAAGTGGATCCAGATAATTCCTCTCCTTTCCTGGCTCAATGAAGGGATGCTATTCACCATCAGTAGTCCTTTGTCAGTTCTGTATGGAGGAATCCTCACGGATTCCCTATCACATCAGAGTGAAAATGTGGATGACTCTTAGATTAAAAAGCAGGAATCAACAACAGTAAGCTCGTATTAATTTTCTTCCAGACTGTTCTGTCCTAATTTCAGTGTAACGAACAATTGACAAAGGCATAAAAACACTAAGATAAGTAATTAAGATAATTACTCCTCTCTCAATAAAGGGAGAGACAACAGTACTAGCTACTGGTTTTTGGTGATATTAAAGAGTGTTCATTTTCCAAACTAACAACTTCAAAGGGAAGTTCTGACGTTACCATAGTAAAGGCAACTGTAAGTAGGAATGTTATACTAAGAAGCAGTAGGAGCTGTGTCTGACTGTAGGCAACTTGGTGCAGATACTGACACAACTCCTACCCTCACTGATTTTGAAGCGTGAAAGATGTGCCAAGTATCGTCAGGATATTTGTTCAAGCTTTTTTTTTACCTTGATAGTAGCAAACCACTTGTTTTTGAAAAACCCCTCATTGCTAGATTGGTATTTCAGTACGTAAATAATGAACTCTGACAAACTACAGCCTGAGGAAAACACAATTAAAAGACTACGCCAAGTTCTGGGAAAGTCTTGTATATGCAACGTGCTTACCTAGTTTAATGTCTCCATCTAATGTGAAAAGAATATTGCCAGCCTTAAGATCTCTGTGGATGATCTTATTTTCATGCAAGTAGTTCAGTGCTTCCAGTGTCTGCCTGCACACCACTTTGATCTGTGGCTCTGTTAATGGCCTTTCAAGCTCTACAAGACAGAGACAGAAATAATCTCATTTCTGCATTTTACGTTATGTGTTCGTAGCAATCAGCATAGTAATATATGTGAAAATTAATTTATCTGGCAGATTCTAAACATCAAATGTCAGAAAAAAATTCTACCTTATAATACTCGTTCCTTTCAGTAAAAATTTCATGCCTTGAACCCAAACCCCTCCTCATTATCAAGTTATGCATCCCCACCTATCTGAACTGTGAAAAAGCTATACAGTTCAGAGATTGATTCTTCTGTGTGGTACACAGAGATGCTAAAGACCAGATCCTTTACTTAAATGGTATTAGTATTCACCTAATTTGAGGAATAAGCACCAAAAAATCTAACTTTAAGGTAGATGCAATATAATGAATTATCACAACCTGATTTGGAAGGTGGCAGTGAAGAGGAAGAATGAGATCTGAAAAGGGCTCATACAGACTACGTTATAACAACAGAGAGCTTCATAAGCATATGAAAACAACTCTTCACATTTACTCAAAGGATCTAGACAAAAATGTTGTTAGAAAGTAAATAAACACTTTAAAACTGAGAGAAAAATAAATCTAATTTAAGAAGTTACAATGTCCATAGGTATAGGTGTAAATACTAATTTCTAAACCCCAACGTTCAACATATATAGCACACTAATTACAGAAATATTTGCATATCAAAACAATACTCATATGAAATATCTCTTAGAATATATATTATAAGGTGTTAACTTTATTATTTGAAACAATTTATTTACCCAACATGACTGCATCTACAGCTCCTCCTGCACAAAATTCAATCAGGATCTGTATTTAAACAAATAAAATACGGAAATTAGAAATTAAACCGTTCCACTGAACTGAATCATTGATTAAGGGAGCATTACTGAGAGATCAGAGTTTCAGACTATTTTGCCTCTACAAATTACTTTACTAACCTGCAAAATATTGGTATTCTTACCCAGCTAAAAGTAGGGCTGTGCTGCTCAAGCAAATTCTTTGAAAAATACTTGGAGATCCTCAGACAAAAGTTTTAATTCAAATATAAAATAACATAACAAAAACTTATAAAACATAATGAAACAGTCAGCTTAAACCTACTCTTTGTAATGTGATTTACATAATCCCTGCAAACTCATTTCTTGATTATTAAGCTCTACTTCTATACTATAATCTCCCTGACTGAAAAGTCCAAGAGCTAAATGATTTTCCATTAGCAGATGCTATCTCTTATATTGTTTCAGACAAGACAAAAATACAGAAAAATACTCTTAAAAGCTAAAGAAAATTACTGAATTCAGATGTTTACAATAATTTTCCTTCATTTTCAATCATGCCTACAATACATCAAGGCTTTCATCCCAGAATTTACTAGAACAAGTCCATCTCCAGTTCTGAGTTGCATTTGAAATGAAAATGAACTGCAACTCTTTTTAAGTACAAACTATGCTGACAAAAAGGACAGAAAGTACATACACAAAGGAAAAAGAGGGCGGACAAAGGGAATGAGGAGAGCAAGAAAGAGGAAAGGTCATTCAAGATTGATATCCCACTCTTCCATATGTGTTTTTTCTTTAATTTGAACTTTAAACATTAAATTGTAATTTTCAGCCTGACAGATAATAAGTATTTCTTGTCAGTCAGTCAATATTGAGAAATAATATCTTATTTGTTTTCTTTAGAGTAATTTTAAAATCGGAGTATAATTGCCCATAAAAGAGGAAATCTCAAACTATACCTTATACCATAACAATTATATATACACCACTTATGTCACATATTACTTCAAATTACTATGGCAATTAATCCTCACAATGACAACAACAAATGTATTATATAATACAACTCTGTGTAAGTCCTTTAAACATTATTCCATTTACATGCTTATACATGCCAACTAAATCAAGTGTGGGAAATTGTAAATCAGAAATGTCTCTAAATTTGCTGTTTGAGCTGACAAAGGTCTCTTTGATAAAGAAATCATGTTTCTAAACCCATAAATCAAGTGTACTATTTTATGCCCAACTACCATTCTTCTCTTTTTTTCCTTGCACTAAATTCAGTTTACTTACATCATTAAAGTTTCTCTTTGTTGTTCTCATGCCCCTGCATTTCACTGTAACTACGTAGTTACAACTTTATTTTCAAACTATTTACCCCTCTTCTATCTTCATTCTGCCAGCAAAGCCTATCCACTCAGTTCCATATTCTGCCTCTATGCATACTTGCTTTCATACTGACCATTTTTATAGGATTTTTTTCACTATTCCACTGTTTTATACAATATCCTTTTACTCTGCATGAAGATCACAAAGTTTTAAGCTTAGCAAAATAAATATAAATGAGGAAATATGATATTTCCACGTCCATCATTTCCGTGGCTAAAGGATAAAGTTTATTTTCCATAGAAAATTTTATTTTTTTAGGTATCTTTTTGCAGTAGAAACTCTTAAAAAAAAAACCCCAGGCACGTATTCTTTGTACAATTCCAAAAGCACTTATAAATATTGCACTGGATCACCAAGAAGAAAAAACTGTATTGTCATAGCTAAGGCTATTCCAGTGAACACACAGGATATAGCAGAGGAGTGACGTGCAGTCATATGTATGCTCTCACACATCAAGGTTCTAATACCTCAGGTTTAAGTAAATTAATTATGGTTCAAGTAGTGGTAAACTGTCCTTCCTGGAAGTGCCAATAGATTCACTCATATCTAAGATACATACTTCACAGGCTGACCTTTTCAGCACATTGTTTATTTTTCAGGTATGGATTCTGAATCTCACTCTAAATTGTACTAATGCAATTAAAATCTGAGTCCTGCTGCTGCAAATAAGCACCAATTAAGAACTCTCTCAGTACAGCAAAATGAACTGCTAATTTCCACATTTTAGATTCAACCCCCCGACCAAATGACTCAGTGGAACACAATTTTACAGTGACAATTTCCTAAGTCATTCTCACAATTGAAGAATTAGTTTTGAAACTGAGTAGTTATCCCAATACTGACAACCCAGACAAAATGTGATTGACAAATGATCTTTTAATAAAGAAAACACTGTAATTTCAATAACCTTTTGAAATAAGTAAAAACACTTAGAGAAGGAAAAATACCTACCCACAGATTGTTTTCATAGTAGAAAGCATCTAGTAGCTTGACAATATTAGCATGATCACAGGATGCTAAAATATCAATCTCCACCATGTAATCTTCAAGTTCTTCTTCTGATTTAGTATCTATCACTTTTGCAGCAGCCAGAACTTTTGTTTCTTTGTTCTGAGCCTGTAAAAGAAGAGTCACAGCAAACATATCTACATGAATTTCACCAGATAAATGGTACCAGTAAAACTCCCCCAAAATACATCAACCCTCTCCTGACAGTTCTGTGCTGTTTTCCTGCCTCCAGCTTCTTTCTCTACAAAAAGAGAACATCTGCATATTAAAGAGCAGATAAAATCTAGCAGAAAAAGGGTTTAATAACTTTTCCTAGGGTTGAGAAACAATGAAAGACAAGAATGTAAAAACACTTAATTCTTGTCACATTCTTTAAACCGTCATACACTCAACAGCTTTAGGGTCACTACAGCTGGGTACTACGATGAAGTTTTGTGCTGCTCCCCAAAACACCATCTATCAGCACTTGGCAAGGAGTATGAAGTAGCCTCCACCTTCTGTTTCTGCCCTTCTGACAGTCCCCACGTTGTGGCAGCACCGCTGTTCCCAAAGCCACACAGAGAACATGATCCTGGACCAGGAACCAGCAGGTTGCTCCTCTTCAGCCAGGGGCTGTATGCAAGCTCCCAGGTTAAAGAGCTGCCAAGCCATCATTAGTTTGTCTGGGATTTTTGCTCTCTTCGCTTCAGAAGTCTGGGAGGACTCCCACAGATGGGGACTCATGGAGAGTGGAATGCTGTAAATGCTGCCAACCTCTACTTTACTACTTCTCACCCTAAGACGAGGGAGCTGGAATTGCTGCAGTGATATGGTCAACTACAGAACCAGTAAAACAGGGAAAGGGCAAACAAAACCAAGGGAAAGAAACCCCCAAAACATTTCTGCTATGCATTTAAATATTCTCTGGTTTTTTTTCCAAACATAAGAAATGACAAGCCATTAGGATGACTTACTGAAATAGTAAAACACTTCAGAAACCAGTAACTGCAAATACTACTTATTCATAGAATATTGCTGAAAACTAATATAGCTAAACTAGGCAAGGTGAGGTGTTTTTTTTTTAATATGAGGGGGGATAAAGCAAATACTAAACGCACAGTCTATATACATGTGCATACATATACGCAAACACAAAATTATATACGCTCTCTAATAATTCTCTTGCAAGTTATCTTGGAAAGAACACTAAATTCCAAGTTGCAGTAAACTTCAAACAAGAAGGTATATTTTTCTCAAGCCATCATAAAAACACTACTTTGTCAGGGCATTTCCAGTGGTTATCTTATCTTTTGCCTCTGAATCAAACTCTACTTCACCCATTATAAGTAAAGACCATGAAGCAGAGGCCCGTGCTTACTCCTCTGAGTTTCTGACATTCAGATGAAATTATATGGCAAGCAGGGACACAGGCTCTCTCCAAAGCAGCAAAAGACAAGGACCTGCAGGGGCAATTCTGTCTCCTGATGTGAAGCATCACAAGGTGGTTCATCCTGTCTCTGCTGGTACAGCTGACGCACAGGGCCCAAACCTACTTGGGATCATCCCAGGACAGAACACAGCAAGAATCCTAAAACCTGAGTTTTATTAACCAATCTCTTTATACCAGTACCAAAAAAAAGCTGCTATCAGACTGCAAGCGAGAATCCTTAAGAAAGATTTCCAAAGTCTAAATATTATTACTTTCACAGCTATAAATAATTCTCTCAATGTGGCAAAAGATAATGAAATATTTAAAGATAAACATTTATAATAATATTCAGTAAAATAGCAGTAACAGCAAAACACACTTCTAAGCACAGTCCCAGCCAATTCATCTCATGTTGAGGGTTAAGGTTTTCTGTAACATTTCTTTTTATCTCAGTATTCTTTCCAAAACAAAAACCAACCCATCTTCCCAACCTCAATATTTGCCCTCCCATGTTTAACAACAAAGATAAGGAATCTGTGTAACATTACTTGAAAACAAACTACTGAGAAATTTTCCAACACACGTTCTGATAATAAAAAGGAAAAGGTCTGCTTAGTAACACAAACATCATTTGTTTTGGTTTCATGCTTTATAGCAAGAATCAAAGACCAACCTTCCTATTCTAGAGCTGGACTCTAAATTAAACATGAGAAGTGAAGCAGATGTCTGATCAAAACAGAAACAGACTTGCTGGCTTTACATGTGCAGAAAAATGGTCTTTAAAGCACCTTTCTAAAGAATTCAAATTTTAACTGTAAATGTACTTTTTTGAAACATGCACGGACACTCTTCACTGTACCTTAAAGAAGGGTACTTAAAATGAAAAAAAATCTGAAAATCATTTTTACACAAATTTGCTTGCAAACTATAGAACGGTAACAGTATTTTTTTTATATAGAACTATCTACATCAGGAATCAGTAACAGATGTTACTGCTTTCTGATTCAGTTTCACTTCTGATCAAGATAGACATTGGTAAGTTCACCTTCATGATTACACACGGGAGTTTCGCATTTACAGCACCTATTGCTTTTTTCTATTGACTGAACACTTTGTATTTTGATTTTTCCCAGATCCTTTTGCTTGAAGGAACTAGAAATCTGCTTTGAATAAGTTTCTATGATTTCCTTCTTGTGGTAGCTCTATTAAAACACCTCATTACAAACCAGAAGTTATTAGAGACAATATGATTATCTTTACAAGCATCTCAACAATTATAAACAAAACAAATGGTTGGCTTTGTTCTGACTAAAGATAGTAAAATTTTGTAGGTCTAGATCCAGACTTTTTTTCCAATTTTTAAAAGGAAAAAGCTTTAGAATTAGCATATTTCCACTGGGTATTTCTGAGGACTGCTAAAATATTACACCTGAACAAAAATTATCTACTTTAAAGTTCTTCTTGAATAAGACAATATTCATCCCCACCCCACAATGCATTCAATAATAAACACCCATCTACGTGACTTGCTGTAAGAAGTACATAAGAAATACGTTCTTTTGAACTGCATAGGAAAGGATTTTACTGATCATGCACAAGATTTATGACTCACTGTACTATGGGGAAAAAAACCCTCTTTTGGATTAAGAGGAACAAAGAGCATTTCCAGTTTTGTGTGGGCATGTTTGTTTTTTCTATACTTAGGCTCAAGTCTTTCTTCTGCCACAAAACATTCTCCAAAGGTCAGAGCAGGAGCAAAAATGATTGTGTACATGCTGCTTTGATTTGCATACTCTCATTTTGCATTTGGCCACACCAACATTTAAAGTCAACCTGCCATTCATGTCACAGGACATATTTTTGAAAGGGCAGATCCTCTAAGTGGCTGCAGTTTTGTCCCATATTTTAGCTCTCAACTATCTGCTCTGCTTAAAATATATTCGACTCTGCTTCTATGATAGACAATTTAGGCTTCAGTCCCGTGCTAAGAAATCCAAATTGGCATTTTCAATGGTTATGTGGAGACAAGGAAGAGAGGGGAGGAAAGATTCATTAACAAAATTTGATCTTTTCAAAAGATACATACATAATGGATGAAAACTGAATTGGAATAACTCATTCCCTCAAGATGTGACTAATCCAATACGACATGGATATTATTAACTACTATATGCAACTATACATAAATACTGCAATCCTTTCACCAAAACTTCTATTTGGATTATTATTTAAGGTTACTGCAGCAAACATTTTAACTTACAGAGTGAGAGAATGTTACAGCATGGTTCCTGCAATGGATGGTACAGCTTCATTAGCAGATGATGCACAGAAAAACACAGTTAATTCTAAGTAAAAATACTTTGATCAGGATGGATTACAGGTTTCTATAGAATAAATAATCTCTAAAATTAGAACTTGTAAATTAATTTCTCTCTGAACCTAAATCCCTCACACTAAAAAGGCAATTCACATCTAATCCACAAAAATGTAAAAATATGAAAATATCTCAGCACAAGAAAGATGAATAACCATTCTACAGAAAACCAGGACCTGCACGTATGCGGAATTAGCAACTCCTCCCTAACAATCCTGGATTTTTGTACAGTATCATATAACTAAATATAAGTTTCAGGGGCATAAGCTTTGTGAGGAGACTGAGAGCAGAATATTAAAAGGCACTATGGGCACTTGGCCAAGAAGTTGCATATTCCCAGCCTTGGACAGCAGGGAGAGCAGAGCGAGCCACCGCTCCAGAGTAATAGGATTACAGCTCAGAGATAACTCGTAGCCTTTCATCTTCAGATGACCAATATGAAGTTTCAGCCTTGGTTGTGAGGGACTGTTTCAGTTTCTTTTTGCCAGTAAATGTTTCCTTCCCAGCTGTGCAGCTCTTCTCCCCCAAGGCAGCTTAAAAGAATTCAACACTATTTTACAACTGAAAAAAAGTTAAGTACACCCTTTGCCTATTGTTCAGCCAACCAGAAACAAAGCTGAGATATGAGACAGAAAATTGTTCATCACCTTTCTTCCTGATGCCTGATCTCTTGTGAGATGTTATATAACCCCATTTTCTGCAAGCAGCAAAACAAATCAATTAAGAAGCTTTTCCTTTCTGACTCATTCTTCTTAACAAACTGTAGTCATAATCATACACCATCAAAGTTGTCAAAAAGTGAAAAATACGCACATCCCTATTCAACAAAAGATGTTTTCCCCACATAAAAAGCTCCACTTTAGTGTAAACTTGAGATTGTCAGATCTAGTTCCATATAAGCTTTCTGATGGTGCCTGAGTAATCAGTACCAAAAAACTGTCCCTGTACAATGCAAAGGCAAGAGCTGTTTCTCTGAGTCCTCACAAAGCAGTGATCTCAGTCTTTCTTACACGCATGAATCAATGAAAAAAAATTGCTGTAATGTTAAGAGTTTAACAGTTTTATCAAATAAAAATGTAAGAAGTAGTCTGGTCTACTGGAACAACTACATTGGACTTTGTTTTGCATAAGTTTACTATACTATATTTAACATTGTCCTGTGCATTTTAAAACTAAAAACCTCTGCATGATGGACCAGCATCAAGTGTTCAAAGTTATTTTCAAAAACATGGAAAGGTGTTCTTCATTAGTGAATTTTATAAAAAAAAAAAAAACACACAAACTACCTTAACTAGTCAGATAAAAGGAAGCACTAGTTCTAACATC